AAGCCAAGTTGGAAAAACCTTCTGCCCAAAACACACACTGCAGCAGCTCTCAGCAACCTGGAGACCACGTTTTACATTTTAAACTTTGGCATCACAGAACACGATTCGTTATATTCTGAAAAGTATCAACGTTTTAAGATTTAAAAATAAATCTTTAAGCTTATTTGAGGCATTGATTTCAAGAGTTTCTGAGGGTGTGGAGAAACCCTCAACAAATGCATTTACTGTGAAATATTTGCACTCTTAAAAGCCTTTTAGCTCCTCGTTACACTGTTGTTGAATATTTATTCAGGGATAAATGGACACGCTGGCAACAGATAAACGTTGGCCACTGGCGTCAGAAATGAAGATCTTGTGCAATGGCATGCAATATGTAAGTGTGCCCAATGTGAAAGACTGGAAGCAGCCCAGCACACACACAGACACACAAACGAGGCTTCTGTGGAGTGATCTTAAAATAGCAGCAGCAGGAGAAATCCAGAGTCATGGAACTGCAGTGCAGCTCAACCTGCAGCATGGAAATGACACGTCTGTTCAAAGCTGAGGTCCTTACGCGTCTTCTCAGCGGTGGTGACTGCAGGCCCCTCGGTCCCGTCCTGCAGCTGAGCGTAGATGCTGATCTTATACTGCGTGTTGGGCTTCAGGTTGTTGAAACAGTGCCTGCTCGCTCCTCCGCTCAGTCTCGTCTCCTGCTTCTGACTGCCTGCAACAAAAGTACAAAGAAAACTTTTATCTTTCTCAAAAATGATTTTGCATTCGTCACATACAAAAATAAAAGCAAGTGCATGCACATGCAAGTGTAGAACGATCTGCACGCATCGCAAACCCAGCACGTTATCACAGATTGAAAATGAAAGCATTTATTTATCTTTGTTGTCATTAGGATGCTGCTGTTCGCTTGGTTTGTTAATAATTGATGAATCAAATCCAATTATTGAACCAATCAAACATCTTCCTGTTGTATTTGTTCGCTCCATCCTAACAGTCGGGGTCCATTGGTAACATGTCAAACAGTTTTCTAAGAAAAACCTGTTATCCATGAAACACCAA